TGTAGACTAGCCCTCCTGTGACCGCTCTCCGCCTCATGCCCTAGCCCCCTCCTCATGGGCTCTTGGGCAGATGGTCAAAATCCCAGACACAGATCTACTTGCTTCATCTGTGCACGCCCAGAACGTGGGTTCCATGGGAGCCGGACTGGGGTTCCTTACAGCCCAGTCCCCAGTGTCCAATAGGGCCAAGGGATCCCTAAAGGGGATCCAGTAAATACCAATTAATCCAAGTCACCTCGCTTGCAATGAGATGGAGAGCGCTGGTAAACACAAGGCGTGATGCTGTGGTTACCGCTCACACACACCTGGGGTACATGTCTGATTTCACTGAGATATTTTGAGGTCTCGAAAACAGTTATCAGACCTCCAAAGACCCCTAGGGAGCCCACTGGGCCGGCTGAGCCCTAACATAATTCACAAAGCTAGGGTTCCCTTCTCAATGGCAGAGTGATCTTCTGGGATCTAAGGGTCTTTGTGGTCGTCATCACCATCACAATCCAGATCCTAGACAAGATACGTCACATATGTCAGGGAGGCAGCTGGGTGTGAGCCTAGAGCCCAGAGAAGTCTGAGCTGGAAGTCTGGATGAAGAAGCTGTCTCCAGCTTCAGTCTAGAAATGTATTCTTTAAAAAAAAATAGGGACTAGCAGTTAGCATAATGGCTATGTCGCTGAACTCCCATGTAGTTGACCATGGTTCGAGCCCCGGACACAGTGGCTTAAACTGACGCTGGGCACATATATGTGTGTACCCAAGATCCCGAGAGGAGAATGGAGGAGAAGGGATTGCGGCATGGCCATCGGTGATTTCTCGCTTTCTGTCTCTCTGTCTCTCTCTGTCTTTCTGGCAAGCGCACGTGCCCTATAGCCAAAATAATAATAATAAGGTGTATCCACTTATTTCTTCTGAGAGAGAGAAAAGGAGACACACACACACACACACACACACACATACACAATAAGGTCCTCACAGATCAATCCACCTTCAGCCTCAGCCAGCTAGGATCACTCACACCTGATGCTCAGAGAAGTCCTGCAATCTAAACCCGGGACCTGGCCCGTGTGGATCAGTTACGTCATTTCTGTATCACTGCTTGGCCTCTGCCACGTGTATTAACCCTGGGGCTGTGCTGACTGGCTAGCACATGTGTCTAGAGCTACCAAGGAACAGAATTTTATTTTACTTATTTAAATTAATACACAATTTAAAAATGAATCATAATCTTTGTTTCATTAAATGCTGCTTCAGTAGGACTACATTTCATTCTGCAAAGAATTTAGCATCCGAATTGAGATATGTGAAACGCACACCAGATTTTAAGACAGCATACCAAAAAAGGTAAAATATCTCATTGATGATTTTCTACATTAATTTCATGTTGAAATACTATTTTGAATATATTGGGTTAAATAAAATACATTAAATCAATGTCAAAATTAGATCAACACCTGTTTCAAAATTAGATTGTCTGTTGGATGACATTTTCATCCTCACAGAAGGCTCTGTTGGACAACTCTGGTGTAGAATCTAACCCTACACACCTAGGCCTCCAAGTGTCCCGGCCACTCCCATGTTCACGCTGGCTCAGGCCTTCTGCCTGGGCCGTGCCCTCTCTGATTTTGAGGCTAACTCCTGCCTCGCTTTAAGGACACTGTCTTTCCTGTCCCCTCCAGACCCTCTGAGCCATCCTCCCCCTGCTCCTTAGTACCCACTGTGTATACCAGCCTCACGCATTCAGTCTTGAAAAGCTGATTTTTGGGGCCAGCAGGTGGCATGGTGGTTGAGGTGCCGGACCCCCACATGGCTGGCTGCGGTTCGGATCCCGAACCTGGTGGCTTGCTTTCTCACTTTCTCTCTCTCTCTGTCTTTCTGGTGGGTGCATATGCCCTGCAGTAAATTTAAAAACAAGAAATAAAATTAAAATAAATAACTCTTTAAAAAAGAGAAAAGAAGCTCATCTTTGCTTCATTCCAATTTTTACATTGAAAGCAATAACCTTATACTTTTCTCTCTGCCCAGTGCCTTGCATATAAGGAATGATAGCTGATGGCTGACACTATTAAATATATCCGGTTTCGCGCGGCACTTTACAACTGGAGAAGGATCTGCCGCCATCTTCCCACAATATTAAATGTGAGGACAGGTCGAGAGTGGCATAGCCACTGTTCACGAGCAAACTGAGGCTCAGAAAAGTTAGACGGTTCCAGTTGTAAGGCTTGCAAGCGTGGCCCCAATTTTCTGGCTCCTGGTCCAGTGGTTTCTCTTACGCCTTGCTCTTGGTCCCCATGAGAGAATGCAGTCAGTCAGGTGATGCTAAATAAACACAGAAGAGAGATTAGCATGGGCTGGGGAAGCAGGGCTGCTTCCTGATGGATCTGGGACTGGAGCTGGGCTTTGAGGGAGGGGCAGTTTTGGGCCAATCAAAGAGGAGTATGTGGGTGTTCAGTGAGAAAAATATAGCTCTCCTATAAGCCCATCAATGGTCAAGAGATTTCATTTTTAGAGAGCTTTTGCTATCGAGTACATATGCTCACTGTAGACAGAGACAGAGACAGAAAACAAGAAATCATCCTCTGGAGGTATGGCCACACCACAATCCCTTCTCCTCTGTTCTCTCAGATTTTGGGCATGCATGCACAGGTGTCCAGTGTGAGTTTTAAGCAGCTGGTTCCAGGACTTAAACAGCCATCAACTACGTGGGAGTCCAGCAACATAACCATCACGCTATCTGCTGGTCCCTCAGGAAATTTCTTAATAGACATCAGTGACGGAATTAAGCATTTGAGGATATATTTTTAAAACAACTTGATTGATGTGTAATTCAAATAAAGGTGTCCCTCACTATCAGCAGGGAATTGTCCCAGGACTCCCATGGGTAACACAGTTCAAGCATGCTGAAATCCTTTTTATAAAATGATGTCGTATTTCATGTAAACTGTGCACAATCTCCCATACACTGTGAATCATCTCTCCATTACTTACAATACCTAGTACAATGTCAATGTTATACTGTAATTTTTAAATATGTCTTTTTAGTTTTTTTTAATTATTTTATCCATAATAGAGTATATGCACACAAGACAGACAGACAGACAAACAGCATGCCTCATGGAGGTTGTTCATGCCACAATCCTTCTTTCTGCAACTCTCCATCCTTTTAGGACCCTGGCCATGTGCATGCCTAGCATGTTGCCACCAGGGCTAGGATTTGAACCCTTAGTGGGCCATGTGCCCTACAGCTTCATCTGCACAGCAACTAACCGCTGCACTGTGGGGCTGGCCTTGTTTTTTTGTCGTTGTTTTTTTCTTGTCTACATACTTTTGACCCATGATTGGTTGAATCTGAGGATGCAGAACCCAGAGATATGGAGAACCGACTGTACCATAAAATTACCCATTTAAAAATGTACAATGCAGTGGTTTTTAATATAGTCACAGAATTACACAAACATCATTAATTTCAGAACATTTTCATCATTCCCAAAAGAAACCCCTTACCCACTGGTAGTTACTCCCCTTTTCTCCTCCCTGCAACCCCTAGCAATCTGTTTTTTGTCTCCATAGATTTTTCTTTTCTGGACATTTCATATGAATGGATTCAGGCAATATGTAAGCTTTTGTTTTGTTTATTTTTGTTTTTAAATTTGTTATAAGATGCATTCACTTATTGAAGACAGAGAGAGAAAGAGAGGGAAAGTGAGAAATCACCCCCCAGAGGGTATGGCTGTGGTACGATCTCTCCTCTCAGGATTTTAGGTGTGCACTTACATACATCCAGCATGGTTTTCAGGCTAGCAGTCTAGAACTCAAACCATACAGTCAGCCATGTGGGATCCTGTGCTTCAACCTCCATGCCATCTGCTGGACCCGTATGTGGCCTTTTATAACTGGCTCACTTCATTTAACATAATGTTTTCAAGGTTAATTCATTAGCATGTATCAGTACTTCATTTCTTTTCATGGTCGAATAGCTATTTCACTGGGTGAATACACCATCTTTTGTTTATCCATTTATCAGTTGGGGCATTGGTTTGTTTCCAATTTTTAGCTATTATGAGTAATATATTGCTCTGAACACCAATGTACAAGTTTTTCTGTGGACATATTTTCAGTTCTCTGGAGTATAAACCTAGGAGTGGAATTAGAGAGTCATGTGGTAACTGTTTAACATTTTGAAGAACCAACAATCTGTTTTCCAAAACAGTTGTAGCATTTTACAATTCCACCAGCAATGTATGTAGGTTCCAGTTTCTCCTTATCCTCATTAACATATGTTACTATCTTTTTTTATTTTTGTCATTTTCATGGGAGTGAAGTGGTATCTCATTGCAGTTTGATTTGCATTTTCTTGATAACTAATGAAGTTGAGAATCTTTTCATGTACTCATTGGTGATTAGTATGCCTCTTTGGAAAATATCTGTTCAAATCCTTTGCCCGTTTTAAAATTTTGTATTTGGTTTTTATTGTTGAATTGTAGAATTCTTTATATATTCTGGACCCAAGTCCCTTATTACTTACATGCTTTGTAAGTATTTTCTTCCATTCTATGGGTTGTCTTTTCATTTTTTGGATGATATTCTTTAAAGTACAAAAAGGTTTTAATTTTGATGAAGACCAACTTATCTACTTTCGTCTTCCATCACCTGTGCTTTTGGTGTAATATCTAAAAAACCATTGATTAATTCAAGGTCACAAAGATTTATCACACAAACTTAAGTGCTCTTCTGAGAGTTTTATGGTTTTAGTTCATATGTTAAGTGAGATCCATTTTGAGTCAAATCTTCTGCGTGGTGCGAGGTAGGGGACCAACTTCATTCTTTTGCATGTGGAAATCCAGTTACCCCAAGACAACTGGTTAACAAGACTTTCTTACCCCCATTTAATTGTCTGGCACCCTTGCCAAATATCAACTGAACATAAAGTAAGGGTTTGTTTCTGGACTCTCAATTGTATACTATTGTTGGGCATATATTTAAAGGCTGATTTCCTCAAATTGTAGTAACTGGTGCCCCATCCTTTCCTGGAAGAGAGTTGAAGGGATAGAGAGATCTCCCAAGCAGACTGCTTTTCCTCAGGTAGGTAATGTCTCTTTGGCCCTTTGCACTGATCTTGTAAGGGCATCCTCCTGTTGGATTTGGAATCCTCCACTGTTGTGATAAGGGAGAGCAGCTGACTGACCAGAGAACCTTATCTCTTCCCTACCTCTAAACATTATTGTAAATTTCAAATGAAAAGATCTAAAGCACTAAACAAATGTTAAGTATATTTTTATTAATTATCCCTCTCCCTCATGAGTAAGACCCTAGAAATATAGAGACAAGTTATTTTTAATTCGTACTCAGTGGGATTAAGTTTGCAGTGTCAGTATTATTGCAAATTCCAAATTAGTGAGGTTTAGATCTTCATATGTTATTCTTGCAGGAGGCTGCAAGCTTACCAGCAGGAGTGTGAATGTGAATGCTGACCATTCCTTCTTCCACATTCCGTCTTCCTTAAATGAGGGGCTACTTTGTACCAGGCACTGGTCTAAGCTCTGAGAAAAGCACAGAGGATGAAGCAGACACAGTCTTGGCCATGCTAGAACATATGCTTTAGTAGGGAACCTGTGCAATTCAACAAGCCATTATAATAAAATGTGACCGTGAGGGAGGTGAAAGATGCCACCAAGCAGTGTTGGGATAAGTCTCTTTCATGTAGAGGTAGGTGGGGGGTGAGGATTAAATTATCTCTGACCACATTCAAAGTGGAGACACAGGCTGTTCATTGCTAAATTTAGCCTCTGACCTAGGACTTTAGACATGGGGACAATGCCACACCTTAGACCTGAGTAGAATCAGCAGAATGTAATGCCTACTCTACCGTCCTCCTAGACATGGTTCTCAAGAGCTGTTCAGAGACAACGCTACAAACAGCTGAACCCTACCTTTGACCTGTCTTTCACTGACTCCTTCCTCTTTGCTTTTAGTACCATTTCTTTGCTGATGGTAGACAAGGCTCCCTGATTACAGGCTCTCTACCCAAACTTGTTCCAGTCCCTACCCCACCACACATACACACACACACATTGGGATCCCTCCTTCCGGGCTTGACCACTCTCAAAATTCCCCCACCCAGGCCTCCATCAGCAGAAAGACTGCTTCCTCCCAGAAGTTCATTTGCATGCAGGTTCACATGCTTGCAACACACACACACACACACACACACACACACACACACAGCCCATGGCTCTCAAAGCCTGAAAAATCAAGCTGCCAAGGCCCCCTGACCACAGAGTGATTCTGAGGAGAGCCCAGGCCACTGACCACCCTGACCTGGCCTCTTACTCTCAATGAAGCTGCTCTGATCACAAGGGCCCATCTAGCCAGCCCTCAAATGTATCATGTCTTCTGGTGTCCACAGCTGTCTAAGTCCAGTGGATGGGATCAAAGGTTGGGAGGGAAACCACAGAGCAGGACAGAGACTGTCCTCCATCCTGAGCAAATCAGGCCTCAGCCCTGTCATGGCTTTCTTCTCAGCCAAGAATTTAGTGACAAGGCCCTGCCTCCTCCTCCTCCCTCGCCTTCCTTCCCCACCTTTCCCCTGGCACCATGTCATCTGACAGCTCAGCAAGATCTCACCCAAGATACACGGGGTCACACAGCCTCCACACTGCACAGTGAGTCTCACGTGTCCCTCGGGGCTCCAGACACAGTCCCACACAGACATCCAGAAACTCTAGGAATCCCTAATGTCCCTAGGCACCAAATGGGTTGAGTTTGCTGACTTCTTCCCTGCCCCTCTGCTCAGCCTCTGACTGACCCTGTCATCCCACCTTCCATACCCTGGTCACATCTGCTAGCATCAAGGTCCTCCAACCCCTCCAGGGACACACCACAGTGCTTAGGAGCTAGCCCCTACAGCCACTCCATGCCTCAAGAGGACAACCCCGTTCTCCTTCCCCCGTGCTTGTCATCTTGGGGGTCATGAGGATGACACAGAAAAAGACTGCCGGGGAGTGTGAGACCTGAAGTGACTTGAAGCAAGCCACTCAGCCCGAGTCTTAATTTCTTCGTCTGTAAAATGAGGGGGCTGTTCTAATTTCCAGGGCTTTTACAGCTCTCAAAGCATGCAAGTGTGAGGTTCTAGGACTCCATTGGGAAAATGTGATTGTTTCCGCTGAGCAACTGACAGCTCGTGCCCCCAGTGGGAAGGAGCGTGCCAGCTCCCGCACTGCCATGCCCCCCAGGACAGTTCCCCCACTCTTCCCCTTCCCAGCAGCGCCACACCCCAAGCCCCCTGTGAGCCTGCAGCTCTGAGCAGCTGCAGCACCTACCCCGGAGGATGCAAGGACGCCTAAGCTCTCCCCAACCAGAGCTCTCCCCTACACCACAGCCTCCCAAGGCCTGGAGAAAAGCTGGACCAGGCAACATTAACCCCGTCCCTGCCGCATTAGCGAAGCCTGCTGACCGCTCCGCTAGCACCCGCTTGCCACTCCGGAGCCAGGCAAGGCCTGGAGACAGGCCGGAAAGACCGAGAGTCTGAGGCCCGGGACCGAGGCAGCGTGACCGCAGTGAGAGGGCAAAGCAGGCGGGCTCGGGTGTCTCGGCAAACAGCTGGGCGCCCCCCCCTCAACATCTTCAGAAGAAGGGGCTCGCCTTCTCACCTCCTCCGTGAGAGCCTGTCCCAGCCCATCCCCAGCCCCATCCCCCC